GAACGCAAAGTTACACTGCTCCATAGCAGGCTGGCCGGAACCTCGCGTCACATGGTATGTTGTCCTCATGAAAACTAATAGAATTGATTACACTAAGTTAAGTTTACCTCTAAGAAAACACACAGAACTATCAGTATACCAGAGTCAACCTACAAGTGTATATAGGTTTTCAAAAGAGTAAAGAAAGGATATTAGGATGAATTTTTATGCATGGGAAGAAAGAAAAAGCTTGCATACATCTGATACATTAACATACTTTCTAATCCCATCATACAAATGGGTCTTTATGTCAAGTATTAAATTTTAGTCAACATTTTTGCATACCAAAAAATATGTCTAGAACTGTTACGGATAATAAAAATTAAATAAAAATTTGCTTCCATCAGTGAGCTTTACATTGTAGTATGATTTTGTGATAAGAAGCAATGCTACCTTTTAAAAAATAAACAAAACCCAGAGGGTTCTCATCTCTACCCCTCGCGTGCTTGGGCTGAGGCCTCTATGTGTTTTCTGACACCAAACAAAAGGGGGAATTAGATGGGAGATATCATCCGATAGGGGCCTTAGGACATTCACTTTCCATGAAGAATAAGCACTCCGTTTCTCCTTCTGTCATACTCGTGTATCCTATGGCAGTTGCCAGTGCCTTCGTGATCCAGAAACTCAGAACTTTCCTGTCAGTTCCTGAATAGCTGCCACAGAGAGCACAAGTGTGAAAATGATTGAGCCAATTGAAAAAAGACGTTTGCATTTTATTCTCTGCCATAGATATTTCACGTCCTGTTTCCTTATCAATAGATGTGGTGGTGAACACACCCTACACCGCAGCATAGAGACCACACGGGATGACGTTGTCAGTCGCAGAGCGCATGTCTCCTCCTTCCTTTTCCCTTACTTCCAGTGGTGATCAGACGCCTGGCTGGCGCTCATGGAGGTAGCTGACAAGATCACCTCATTTCACTACCTAAGGTTATTCTTAAGGAGCAGGTGGTGAGGTTTTAAAAAATTCTCCTGTGATATCAACCTGCCAATCTGAGAACTAAAAAGTAAAAACCAAAGCTGGGTATGAATTAAGGCACATCATTTATAATAAACAAAGATGAAAAACATAGGAACATATTTCAATGAAAATGAACTTTTTTTTTTTTTTTTTTTGTCTTTTTCCGTGTCTGGCAACGGATCGCAACCCTCAGTGTTGCCCCCGCACCGGACCGGGGACCGGCACCGGGGACCAGCAACGGGATTGCAACCCTCGGTGTTGCTCCCGCGCATCACTCAGCCAGTGAGCGGGAACCGGTCTGTATGTGGGATCCGAACCCTCGGGCGGGAGCACCGCCGCGCTTCCCAAGCTGCGCACTTATCCAGTGCGCCACCGGGCCGGCCCAAAAATGAACTTTTAAAAAATCAATTTACAAGATTTAAAGCATAAAAGTGAGTTAGTAGTCAATCTGCCTTTGTCCCACCCTTCTCTGGGATTACAGAGTTGCTCGATTTGGCTTATTAAAGGAATGTTTCCTCTTAAACTGATTACTTCTCACCTCAAAAAAAAAAAAATCCAAACTTTCCTATAGTAATACATAAAGAATAACAGATTTTCAGCTCCAAGAAATATTACTTGGTCAGTAAAAAAATTCCTCTTTTTTCATGAACTAAAAGATATTAATAATAAATGAATAATTGGAGTCTTAATTGAGTAGATATGTGTATTACATACTTTCCTACCTCTCTTTTCATGTTTTTTTAAAAATTAAAGATAATTTTCAAATTTTAATTTCTTGAGCATTCATCTGTTCTGTTAAATACATGGCAACTGGAATAAAAACCCAGCCACATATATCACTGATGGTGTTATTAAACCAGAGTGATGTGATTTTGCAAAGGCAGAGATAAACCTCAGAGATTAAACTCCTCACATTATGCTTTGTTGGCCTGGAAAAAGAATGACTTAAAAACAAACAAACAAGAAATTAAAACTTCCCAGAAATATATGAGGTGAGCAAACTGTTGACCTTTAGAGTTCCAGTCAAATTCAAAAATATATAGA